ACTCACGTCTGTACTTCATGAGAACTGCAAGAAGTAGCATATGCAAAGGGTTTCAGAATGTTTGGATGATTGGTTTTAGGATTGTGACCAAAGTACAAGCCAGTTTGCTGTGAAAATGCGGTATTATTAAGACTTGTTTATGTTGAGTTTCTCAGCTTAAGACAGTTGCAATCATATAATACACTGACTACAAATGTGCATCAATCTTAAAATCGCCTCCTCCGTTGAAGTAGACATTTAAATCTCCCCTCATCTATCGTTTTATGTACCGGTATTTTTACGCTTTCCAGTTTTACTTGGATTGCAAGCAACTAAACTCGACAAATTCACTTTCCGCTTTGTGAGTCTTTTCCCTGTGGACACAAACCACAATAATGTCTCTATGTTCCGTAACATTAAGCAGCCGTTTCCTGGGGATTCGGTGAAGAAACCGGATGTTAGTTGGTTCTCGATCAGTTAGTCACACGTACAACGACTGTCCCTCAACAAATCTGCGAAGCATATGCACGACCTGTGACTGCCTTTACTGCCTATACCTGTTAGCTAATCATCATGTCGAATCGACATCTACTCCCTGAGACCTAGTAATCTGTATTACATTCACGGAGTAAACGTATGTCTAACCTGAACTTTCTTCTTGGTGTGGTGTATCGGTAGCTATCCTTATAGCAAGAAAGATGTTGCAAACTGTCTAACGTACCTGCACACGTCGATAGGTACCCTCTTTAAGATGTGCTCATCTTTATGTGTAATGTACTACTCATAAGGTTGCTTAAAATCCATCGACAGCCCACCTTATGAGTAACCACCTTATGAGCAACCTTATGAGTAGTACATTACACATATACATGTATCGCGATATTTCAAATATCGTAGCGACTGAAACATGAGGCGGCCTGGTGCAGCACATTCAGTTGCCTGAGAACATCATAAACGAGAGATTCAGCTGGGTTCCAGGTGAGTCTCTCGAAAGAACCAAATTAGTTTACAGATGAGTGTATATTCGCTAATGTGCTCATCTTCAAGCACCTTGTATCGGACATCTTTCTCCCCTTGCCTCAAGTCATACGAAGTTGTTGTCAACGTTTCAATGGAAATTGTGGACATATTCCCCCGTTTGCCCGCATAACTAAAGAACGTTCATTTCCCTGAACCCAATGAGGCCTCCCTCTGAGGAGGCATAGCAGCTGGGGGACGGAATTGCTTCCTTCCAGCTGACTAGAATGTATGTTTGCTCACTCCATGCCTTAAAAACAACTTATTACTGCAGTGATTATGTCCTTGTACACTGATGTGAACAATAGAACGCCTCCAGCTTCCAAGACGGAATCTTTCAGGCTTCATACAAATAGCTTGTTCCAAGGGTCAGCGTTCACTTCCCTGGGGAGGGAGTTCCTCTCTCGGAGTCACTCTTGAGAAGTAGATATTCAGTCCAACATGGCCTTTATAGCATGCGTTTTACATTTTTCAGAAAACTGGATGGTCTTTTCCTGGGCGATCCGCTTGTCAAGTGACTTCGGAATATGACGGTCTTACTGCTCCTCACTAGCATTTTCGAATGGATGAACGCGACAGGGTAGGTTATTTTCATTTTTTTTCATCCGGCAGTCCGTAAGATCGGCTTTTCAAGCTGGTTGTATCAGCGGAGTTATATCCACCATTGCTTTCCAGCCACTTGATGTCATTAGAACACGTTTGCAGGCGCAAATGCTCTCGGGGTAAGTGGAAATAAACGTTCGAACCAAACTGCATGGATCTGCTGGTTAGACCGAGGTTTGTAGTTCTGTATCAGCATGCTGTTTCACATCCACTCAATACCGATGGGTCGCATTTTGGGTAGCGCATTCACTAGATGGATCTCATAATGGCCATCATTGTTGACAAAGCCGGCGAAGATCAGTGCTACTTCACTGCTGCACTGGAGTGAGGAGTTATATAAATTAAATCTCAACAAAAAAGAGAAGTAAAACAGTTAGGGAGGTTCAGTACCACCGTACTTCAAGCACTCGAAGTACATCTACATCAAACAGACAGATAATCTGCATGGAAACCTAGTGTGAACATTGGTTAGCTTCCATATCTTTCAATATCTCAGGCCAAGTACAGGGATGGCCTTATGGAACCCATCCTGCAGGTGGACGGCCTGGACAGCACAGACACTTCTTAATTCATTCATTCTTCTCTAACAGGTCACATTTTCTTCACCCTGGGGTTTTCCTTCCTCCGGATCCACCACGGAAAGCGCTTTTCCTAGTGGGCGATGAATCGGTACGAATAGCACTTGACTGAGCCGCTGTAGTTTGGGGCGCTTGGCACAGTTCTCACCTCACTAAACACTAGATTCTTGGTCGTGTTTTTCATGAATCCGTTAATTCCGAATGATCATCGCTATAATTCTTCGAGATCGTTCATCGCAGACCGAGGTCGGTTTTCGCTCCCGTTAGATGACAGCTATTTGGAGTGGAAATGAGCGAGCTTGGATCAACCTTACTTCATGGTTACAGAACATGACACTATTGATTTGAGGATATGAAACGTCTTCAAACTTTTGTTTATCGATGATTTTGTAACACAGTAAGCATCAGATGGTTGTGCGTTCGTATGTGCTTGGTGGCTAAGCAGGTACTTAGCAGTCGGCCAGAATAACTAGATCGGCAATCTCTGTGACAGTGTAATTACTGCAGTGATTTTCGGCCTTTCAGCATATGTTGACGTCACTTTTAGGGTGGGGGCCGGATTTGAGACTTGGCGATCTGCCCACAATCTAAAGCGTTCATTTTTCCTGTCTGCATTCGGTGCATGTTTAAGTTGACTTACGAATATCCCAACTACTACTTGTCGACTGGATACCAAGTGGGTACTATAGAGATCGAATTTTCCCACCGCTCCCTAGATCAGCAACCAACACACTTGTTCATCGCAGTGTGACCACTCGGGTCCTACCACATTGGTAGCTTTTCTTGTTTCGGTAGTTCTGCACATCTTTGTTTATCCATGTGGCTTTCAGCGCTATTGATGACTAGTGGTGTGTTGTTATTCTATTTAAGCGTATTTTGTTCATGCGAGTATTATGCGGGTATTATCCTGTTGTTCGTTCTCTCTACATTTTTCTTCTCGGCAGCAACAAAAATCCCGGTCTTCAGGCGGTGGTTCGATCAGTTTACCATGGGACGACCCAAGCGGGTTTGGCTTCTCCATATAACACATCTCTCACAATTGGTCTTCCCCGTTTCTGGACTGGCACTGTGGCTTCACTATGGCGCTGTGTACCTGGTATTGGTGGCTATTTCTTCTTTTTGAGCATGTTGGAAAATCTCGTTAGGAGGTAATTTTGGTTACCCAAGCATTTTTCGTTGTGGTCACCTGACCCGATATAACACACGAATGAATGATTCTCACCCCTGCAGAGACCATCTTCGATACTGCCGCCCCACTTGCCGTTTGTCACAGACGATAACCGTCACGCGCCAATTCATTCTGTCAGTTACTGAGAAGCCTTTTGACCATTTCGCAGCTACTTACAGTGCTCAGTGTGCTTTTGTCACCTACTTCACGTCATTATGGTAAACTAATTCAAACAAATGAATTGATTCTGAATTGAGTTGTGCCTGTAGTCTTTAGTTGCCCTCTTCGTGCTTTGTCATAAAAGGCTTCCCTGCACGTGTCAGTCAGGGCAGTGAATGGCCATAACAAGCGTTTCGGGTGTCTTGCGATCTATTTTGTGTTACTCAAGTTGTACACTAGTTTTATACGGTTCTAGGACAGGTCACTGCCACATCTTCGTTTTTAAAGTGCCTTCATCCCCTTGAGTGGAATAACCATTATGTGCTGGACTTCATCTGCCTTAGCCTTTATCTTCTTTGCATTTCTAGGTGTGTAAATTTTTACGATTTGAGAAGGTTCCAGAGTAGACTGTGTTATTTAGGACGAGGTATGCAACGGGCCCTGCAGAGCATTGTTGCGTGTATTTTTAGTTCTGCAGGCATACGCATGCCTGCAGTTCTGTGATATAATGTAGAACGTCGTTTTACATCCCCTTACTATCCTCACAGTGGATCTCTTTTCAGATTATCCTTGCCACAACTTCTCATCGATTTCGCGTACCTTCGCTCCATATAAGTTCTCATAGAAGCTCCACTGAGGACACTACCCCGGAATAATGGCGGCTGGTTTATTTTGTGGCGACAAGAAAGGGTTACCAGATTTACTGAACTGCAATATGCATTTGCTGTACCCGACAGAATACTCTTAATGCATCTGTGTACTTCAAGCGTCAGTCTTCCATCATAGCTATCTTCGTAGTCGTACGTAGGTCAAATACGAGCTGACCAGGGCACATTGGCATGGTTTTCACCCAAAAGTGATCATAGTAGTTTATTGTAACAACGTCAAACCACATACTGCTAGATACTGGAATCGATTGATCCTTCTTTTTCGAATACACATCCGGCTTCCAATGTAACTGGGGTTTTGAGGTCAGTTTGCTGGCTTACTCCAATAACTAAGTTGCATCTTACTCAACTACTCACAAATGGCAAGTCTCGTGCTTTCTTACCTAACGGTTTTATGAAGTGTGTTTCTGAATTGATGGTTGTGAGAAGTCAGAAAAAAGCTCGTTATGACTGTGTTGTGTACTGAGAGCTTTCAAGATAGCGGTCTGTCCCAAGTTTTTTGTTTCTCCTGGTGGTTCGAGTGCTCACATGACTCCTCATTCTTGTCCATACAAGTAGACCGTTCAGCAGTGTCTGACGGTTAAACGCAAGCGCAAACCACGGGTGTCGCTGGGTATCTGGGCTACACGAATGTTGAGCCCAAGGTATGGGTCATGCTGAAAGCGCAAGAATTTCTAATCCATTAGTCAAGTGTGTGAATGGATGTGCAATTCAAACGCACGTGTGCTCCGTGAGTCAGCGTCTTTTCAGCTAGCTGAAGGCTCTTCTAACAACAAGGTGCTCGCTTGATCTGGTCCCGTTCAATGACGTCTGTGTTTGTGTTGGCGCGATGTGTATTTGGGTTCCCAATCCAGATTATGTAAATCATCGTGCCTTCTTCAACATTTCATACGAATATTATTTGTGTATCTGGGTAACATCAACATCTGGTCGAATTTGGAAGTCACACGAGGAGCCGACGGGCAGTACCGATGAACGCAAACTCTCACCAGATAGAGGTATGGCGAATCAGTATGGACCTCAAGCGCATGATGCAATGCGGTTAGCATTCGAAGTGGCCTATTTGATGGACCACTCCCGATAACCCATAGGTCGGGTTCCACCCATGGCCTGTGTCTTGTTTGGTTTGTGCATACCCGGTTTCTATTCAAGATTGTCTAACTCCGTGTATATTCTTAACAGATGCATTATTGTTGACGGTCCATCTTTTTGAGTAACTGCACTTCCAGTATCTGCCATTCTTTCTCACTTTCTCCATGAACCGACAGATATAAAGGTGTATTGACCGGAAGTTCACAATGTGTCCAAAACTTTCTGACAGGATTTTGTGCCCGAAGTTTTGTTGCGGTTGCACTCTCTCCACTTCTTGTGGCCAAGACTCAAATTGAATCTGGACGTTTTGTGGATAGATCCTTATGGGGAACACTTTGCCGAGTTCATCGCAGTACTAGCTGGCGCGGTAATATTTACTGTATCACCTTTTCGTTTATTTCCTGCACGTCGTTACTCATATGTGGATTGACTTTTTTAGCCGTTTTGATTCAGTGTTATCTAAGTTCAAAGTAGGGAAATGAAGATGGCAGTCTTGTTGGCTGTTCGGTTTACTTATTTTATCAGCACACTGATTGACGGCAACCTCACTGAATGTATCGCTTTCGAATACCGTTCAGTACGCATTGAAAGTTCACAATCTGTTACGGGAGTACTTTTCTCTGTAGCAAGGTGTCCCAGGTCCTGGAGTACTCTTTTGACTCTCCGGCTGAACCTTAATGTTCGTGTGAGGATGCAGCAAAAACACGTTCTTTTGACTCCCTGTGTCAACCGAACTGAGTGCCACATGCCGTCCTCATATGAACGTTTCCCTCTGTGTTACAGGCCTGTATAGTGGCGTGTGTGCTACAATCGCACGTGATGGTCCCTATTCTGGACTATACTTCATGACGTATTCGTACGTGAAGGGAACACTGCTTCCCAAGTCAAATGACGACGGTAAGCATCGCGTGGTAATGAATTGTGTTGAAGACCATGGTGGTCGACCATTCGGATGCACTGGACCTTGTCCTCCGGTCAAAGTTGGCACCATTGATGTAATCTTTCACGTACCTCACTCTATCGCTGTGTGTACCTCTTCTTTCACACATATGCCAGGCTTCTTTGAGAACTACCGTTTCTTTTGGATCGGTTTTATAGAAATGCACGCCGAATTCCTCACAAAGAACAAACCGTACACGTGTATGATGGACCCTGAGACAACACAATCCTAGGAGCGGTATCATATGCTACACATTTTGACGAAGACTTGAGAGCCTGAAGTAAAGTTGGAGAATATTTTGAAAAAAAATCTTGCCGGACTACACACAACTTCAACTGTAGGACTTAGAGACTTCTCCATTTTACATGAGAACGCAGACCAGATGAATCCGAATTGAGCGCCTACTGTCTTACTAATTCACAAGTAAATTCTGTTAGAAGCGTTCGTAGTTCTATGGCTTGCGACGTTTGTGGCGAGCGTACACCACGAATTCACTACCCGTGGACGTTTTCACAAGACTTTAACTACAGTAACTCTGGGTCCGTCCTGTGCGCATGGGCGTATGAAGTTATGACTTTATACTCGTGTTTCGAAGGCAAAGTGAAGTGAAACTCAGGGGAAGCAAATTTTGAACAAATTTCGCCTGTAAAGGACGTGGACACTGAACGCTTTTGTATAAAATATATACCTTGAACATATCGGTGCATTGTTGTGTTTGATTTCTTGATTATTGGTTTTGAGATTGGACTGGGGTTATGGAGCCCATCGTAAGTTGATCCAACAAGGTTTGTTTGCGGGGAATTTCTTCGTGGGCGAGTATTACTTTGCCGTTGCCCAGGTTGAAGTAAGGAGTCCCTACCTTGAGTATCGTGGTTGAACAATGTCCTCTAACTGGACATCCCTGCTCCAGCTAGCAAGCTTGTCTTCTGTTATGTGAATACATCGAACAGGTTGGACAGCAGACTGAAATGCTCTCTCCATATCCAGTAATCGAGTCTCATTTGTTTTCCACTAGTTCCACTACCTTCGTAAACGTGTCTTCGTTTAGAAGCCTCTTTCTCGTGTTTTAGGAAAGCCATCTTGGGCGTAGCCTGTCTAAGACATCTTTCGACATAATGCCATTGACGATGTTTGTTGATGTACATTTCCGACCTAGCGATAATGGCGAATTGATTTATCTTCGCAGTGACTGTATCACCTCCACGGAGTGACCGTTTTGAATTATCACTCCAGTTTCTTCCGTGCCTCTTCAGCTCTACCTTTACCACTTCTTGGTTGTTGTGCGGGTATTTCCGCATTTGTGGCCACCGGTATGACACAACCAGCGGACGTTCTACGAGCCCAGCGTCAGCTCATGCCCATCCCGGATAATGGACCCACCCAGTCCAAGGCAGTTTACCGAGTGCCATCCTGGTCTCAAGTTTTTCGGAACGTATGCGAAGTGGATGGTTTGACGGGTTTTTGGCGAGGTTTCACCCTGCGACTGATGCGTCGAGCAGGTCTGGCGATAGTGAGCTGGTGCCTTTACGAGCGCATGTCTTCATGACCCTCTCATTTTATTATCCTGTGATCCTGATCCTCCTTATTTTCACTTTTAGCATTCTTCTGTGCATTTCGTACAGTCTTCTTCATATTTTTGTACCCATATGGAAGCCTGTGACAATATATCATACTTTTTGAAGTGGGTCACTACCATCAGACCCCCTGATCGACCAGATGTTTGAAATTAGGGATTTTCGCCGCTATTGGCCCGCCATTTTATGGCACGGATTTGAGGCTGGAACGCCGAACTATGCAAAAATAGTTGAACTGGACGGCCTGAAAAACAGTGGTGCACACAACTAACTAGATTGTGCACCTTTGAAAAGCCTGATTATTAATACAGTTATCAAATTGTCCAACGGGTGTATTTATTGGATGCACACAAGGATGTATGTACACTTAGTGCGTAGCCTTGCAAGTGTCAGAAGCCAGTTGCCCCAGATGTGATCAATAGATCTAATCACTTTTCTCTTGTGTGGAGTTAGCATTACTGTTTAGGTTCTGTAACTTTTCGCCGGTATGTTGAGTGGGTCCACTCCCACACCCAGCTACTTTTCCATGTGCTTGTGTTTAGTTCAGTTGCTCTATGAACACTGTTGTACAGAAGAATTTTCCTTGCCTCTATTTCTCGTTCCCCGAACTACAGTCATGAAAGCTAAGAACGGTGACTTTCCGGCAGAGTGTCCTGACCCTCATTCTGAGCTTCCTCACAGTATTCGTGCTCAGGGGCTGGACAGATTGAACTCTCCGTTTTACGCCATCTGTTTATCAGCTTAACAAATTGGCTGGAATTCGTCTCCATTATTATGGTTATCACAAGTGTAATTACCTAACGGTGGGAATAGAAGTGCGATAGCCTCGTTTGGTTATGCCGGCCTAATGTCTCACAAAGCTTCTACACGCTTACTTTATGGCCCCCATTGGCCTGTAGCGTCCCTATGGAGCATCCCGGTCCGTATACGCATGCTTGAGAAATTACCAACCCAAAGGTCACTCATGTTGTCATCGTCATCATTTGCGTAGTCCTTGTAGAGTAACCGTCTACTGTATTCGGAGAAGCACATATTATTAACTGCACAAATCAGTTCTGACTCTTAGGTTCGGCGAGCAGGTAGTGCGGCTTCTTTAAGGTAGGGACGAACCATAGAGTGCAAATTTTTCGATTGATAACCTTAAACTGCCTGCAAGACCTAATGAACTGCATTAACATGGGTCCATTTAACTGTTGATTGAACATGATCGTCGATTTCAGGGGATGTAAAAAATGTTGGGATATTTCTCATCACAACGAAGGACAAAGTATGGACGTAACACACTACTCGTAAGGTTACTGAAAGCTCTTCGACACCATAGGCGAATTGGTAGGCAAATGAGTGCATTTGTCGAAGGGAACTGCAGTTTAAGGCAGGCTCACTGACTGGCGCGTGATTTGGCTTTTAATAGAGCGTAATCTTACCTGCTTTATTTGATTGTGATACTGCGAAATAAGTGTGTACGCATTGTTTTGTGCTAGCTGGCATCGACTCAGGCGGTAGGCAGTAATACCAACGTGGCTACTGTCATTGCATAGCAACTTCAGATGTTTCACTCTGAGGGTATGGGGTGTATCGACCTCCACTTATCAAATCGCGTCACAACCAAGTCAAGGAAGTCTGTACGCTCCCATGCGGTGAATTTTCAGCTTATGTCGCAAGGGTGCTAAAAACCTGATAGACGTTAGCACGTTGGGGTAGAAAGTGTGATCAAACAGGAGGCCTAAGCCATAGGTGATTCATCTTTAAGCTACCGTCAGCGGTATATCAGACCAGATTGGTGGCATTCAGTACGGACAGACAACGATTTGAGTCTGTCCTAGAAGTAGAAATGGCCTCAAACAAGGCGGGGCTGAGTGGATAATAATTTCTCGGGTGAAAGGTTTGAGCTGGTGTCATTGCCTTTGCTGAACAGAGAGTTAGGAACAGATTTTGAAATTCCATCTCAAAGCACGCTTTGGTGACCTTGCAGTGAGTTGGAAATCATTCTCATGGAGTGTGCAGAGTGGACCAAGGAGACAGTGCATTCCAGCGTGGGAGGATACATGCGTTTGAGGTTTTTTTCGTACAGATAATATCCTCGACCTGATTAAGTAAATGCCTAGTCGATGGTTTTGATGATTATTTCGGTAAGGGAATGGGCTACCTAGGGTTTTTTTCGATAAAATAATCCCAATTACTTCAAGATGCTGGATTTTGGAGAGGGAAGCATCGTTGACAGTGTCGAGTAGTAATTACAGACGTTCCCTCCCAACGCTTATCCGGAACCATGGAAAAAATAGCGTCATCAAATGTGGGGACATTGAGGGATAGACACCGCCCGCGAGACTGCTTTGGAACTTTGTCCAAGCCCGTTTTTTAGGTGCGAGTGTGCTCCTTTAGTTGAGTCCGATGGGCATACTCGGTGAGTTAGGGGATCAGGAACGGACATACAGCTGACATAAAAGAAAAGACGAGGGAGGTGGTATAGGTCCTTGAAGCTCTCTAGTGTCAATTGGTGAGAGTCCTGAATCTTCGGTTGCCCGGTCAGCGAAGTAGTAATGGATTCAAGTAAGGTGATTCTGTTCATTTCGACACACAGGTAGGTACAAAAGTGCATCTCGGTCTAGGCTGTCAAACGTGTCTATACACCCCAAGATTAGGGATATATCAATCAAAATTGACCGAGTGGACCATATACGTAACAGCATCTAGCGTAGAGAGACTGGTAATAGGCCAATTGTCGTGAGTCGTTACCAAGCAGGATAGTTCAGATTCCACTCTTCTGAATGGTTCTAGGTGAGTACAGACGGACGCTGTTTGCCGGATTTTCGTGTTGTTATCGTTGTTATTCTGCAGCTATCAGCAGTTTTCTCGCCAGAGATATTGGTTGAATGAGAAGTTCACAGGTTCAATGTTAACGCCTGTGAATTCCATGAGCGGCGCCGCTGATGGAAGCTCGGGACTGCTAGCTTTACCAGACTTAAGTTATCCAGGATGTCTCTGAAATGCACCACCTGTTATACTGCTTATGTAATAGGTGCAAAATTTAGTGAACGATTTGTGGGCATCAGTAGATTCTCGGCGCAGCTTGTTATGGTAAGTGGTATGTCGTGAATGTTTGGGAACAGCGCCACATAGCTGGATCAGTGGATCCTGTATTTCACGCCTTTGTCTCTAAGTGGCATTTACACGTAGGGCGCTTGGTCCTGACTTTTATTTGTCCGATCGACTTGTTGACCCCTAGATGGACGTAGATCTTTCTCTTTCCACTTCTGAAGTGGAATAGAAAACCGATTGCGTATATAAACTGTCTCCGTAAAACAGCATAGGTCGACGCACACAAGAAGAGACATAGTCAAACGGTCACACTATGTGGAAAGTTCCCGATCATAGCTGACACGAATCAGTCACAGGTAACACCCCTCATTTCGTTGTTCTCTAGTGAATGTCTTTTTTCCCAGGTACTTGTGAAACAACCGTATCAATCCTTAAGAGAAACGGCCAGTATGCAAGGGTGGGGGCGAGATGGCTCAAGTGGTTAGAGCGCGAATTTTCTGACCGGAAGGTCCGTGGTTCGAACCCGACCTCTGGCTCTCGACTTCCCCTGTCTAGGGTTAAGCAACCTGGCAGTATATCAGCCCTCGTACTTCCGGTGGCGTGGCAGCTAGGCACCGAAAGGGCGCTACAGCTGGACGATTATACATTATACGATTGTATGCAAGGGTTAGAGGAGCCGAGTCGGTTGAGTCCACCTGTTGAAAGTGTGATGTCATTTTATATGAAAGTATAGCCCGCTTAGTTCGAGCACGAGCAACACTGACAAGACCGAGAGATTTAAGGAGGGCAGCTGAATATATCAAGGTCATCGGCAATCACACAAAGATGACAATCTCTGTTTTCCATCAACGCAGTGGAGTAAAAGTCTGAGAAGGGCGATAATTCTGGGGAGGAAGTATTTGATAAACTGTGTATACAAGATATTAATAATCAGGTTTTGTATTCCAGTGCCAGACAGTTGGTGGTTCTTGAAGAAAAACGACACTTCTTGTTTTATATGCGATACGACTTCACCAGCTCTGTCACGGTAGCTGATTAGACGATCCACTCGTCATAAGTTGTAACCACTCATCTGAATTACTCCGTTGTCCACATCATTGACAAAAGGACAGCCAATTGCGGAGGACCCGTCAACACTACATCAGTGTAATGGTTTGGAACACTGCTTTGTTGCCGTACGATGATTCATCGGCATTATATTTGACACTAGTAATGCACACCACTGCTTAACTGCGGTAAGTAAGGTGATTAAAATCTATTCAATCAATTTCTTCCACCCAAAACAAAGGGTTTTTATCATAAGTGTCCGGGCGTCTACACCAAGCACTAAGTTAAACGGTGCGGATAGAAACGGATAACAAACACGTTACTATGGTCGGTTGTGAAGTGAGGGGTGACCAATACAGTAGAGCGAATTAGGTAAGTTTTATCGGGCATTTCACCTTTTTTTCATTACCAGTATACTTCCACGTCCTAAGTTCAGGACGGGGATGACTCCCAGGTTGAATGGCGTGTCGTTTTTTGCTAAAACAGTGATGTACTGTCCTCTCCGGACGGCCACTGGCCCGTTAAGAACCTCAGTCGATAAGCTCTCCTAGATAGCTACTCCGACGGGGAACAGTCGTGACGCATATTGATGTGTATTTCCCAAGAAACCAATGCATTCATTGGTGCACACTTTTTTTCGATCTACACATGTTTCTCTGGAAAGGCTACAACTAGAAAAGATTACCTGCTCAGATTGTTCACTTTCAGTTGACACATTGGGGCCACTTATGATCTCCAGAACCCTCTTGAAGCAGGCCACTTCCGATCGGGTCTTTCCAGAGGAATACAGCTGTGATAATTATGTTCAAGACAGAGAAATCTCATGTGCTGAGGCTTTCGACCACTTTGGAAGCATGTATGTAAATCGTGTGGATACACGGTTTCATGACCCCTGTTGTGATCTGAATTGACGCCAAATCTCACGGGATCCTACTGGAGGTCTTAAATGTTTGATAATCTCTATGCTACTTCTATGCTGTCCGAGCGGATATTTCCTGGCCCTTTTTTCGGTTTCATGGGGTTATTATTAGCCAGCTCATTTTTCTCGTTCTTTGGTAATAACTG